TGCAAACTGAGTTTACTGGTAGTCTCGACACTACTTACATACAAAAGATGCAGCAAACTAGACTGGATCGCTACTCACTCTTGTGCAAGTCTCGATCTTGTGTGGGTTTTTTTTAATTATATATTTCATAGAGGTTATTTGAACTTGTCTTCGCAACATGGTCATATTGGTAGGAAGACTAATTGCAACTCACCTAGTCCGGGGTCCATTGTCTGCATGATCATTTCCAAAGTTGAACCGTGGACGTGGAACATTCCCATCAGGGAACTTTGGAAATGATCATGCAGACAATGGACCTCGGAATATGTACGTTCCAATGAGTCTTCCTACCTGCGAAAACAAGGTTAAACAACCTCTATACAACGAAAGGAGACTGCGACCACACAAAAGGCCACACCATCAATGATCATACAGACAATGGACCCCGGACTAGGTGCGTTCCAATAAGTCTTTCTACCAATATGACCATGCGAAAACAAGGTTAAACAACCTCTATACAACGAAAGGAGACTGCGACCACACAAAAGGCCACACCATCAATGATCATACAGACAATGGACCCCGGACTAGGTGCGTTCCAATAAGTCTTTCTACCAATATGACCATGTTGCGAAAACAAGGTCAAACAACCTCTATACAACGAAAGGAGACTGAGACCACACAAAAGACCACACCATCTTGGTCTTCATACCTGCGATTATATATTTCCTAATTCATTTCATTCTTAACTATCAAACGATCCAATTAGTTCCAATTATAGTTTCGCAGAGACAAAGCAAGGAGGCAGCCGAATAGAGTGGGAAACAGCTCACCAGACGAAGATGCTAACCTGTCGAGAACGAGGAAATTCTTCATAAGTTGCATTGACGAGATGAAGGGTTAATGTAAAATTCAGCGGATCAAATACTATGACGTCCGTCATGGTGCTTTCGTTTAGGTCGCCCTGACACTGGCGGCATTCATCCCTCTACTCTACAGTATGGCCATGGGTGCTGGTGAGTCAGCGGGCAGGCGCGACGGTCATGGCGTCAGGCCTCTTCCCAACTCGCATTTATCCGGGGCCGGTCGATCAAGCGGTCCGTTGTGGATGCGATGTGCTTTTGGGAGGCAAGACCAAGTGAAATTGGAGGGCACCTGATTGCGGAAAAAAACTCGCCTACTACTCTTTAAACCGGCTTAAATGTACTAAGATGACTAAGCTCCTATTCAAGAATCACTGGCACTATCAAAAACTACTCATACTAAAACTGAGTAGGGTTGGGAAGCCCTACCTCTATCCCTTTATTCTGGTTAAGCACACGGTCTGATGGTGGGGCAGGCAATTTTTTTCCCATCTGCCCTTTGCTTACACTCTGTCAGACCGCCAAAGCCTTTAGGACTGCCGAGACCGACAGCCGCAGACGCGAAAATTGAGTGCCGTGATGACTCAGACCGCCTCGTATGCTGCACTACATCGTACGGGCAGGACGTAGATTTGCCCGAACGCGACCACACGGTCGTGCCAGCCCAACGCAGCCGGTTTTCAAATGTCGCCTTAATCGATTGATTCAGTTGAGTTCAGTTTGAGGTTAGCCGTCCTTTAATCCGAATTTTCACTTCCTAATCCGCTTCGCTATCTCATTTGTCATTCGGGCCTACTCTTCTCTCACTCATGAGCCTTGATTGATTCCGTTTTGCACTATCTATACGTTGTTATCGACTCACTCTTCTATGAACTCCTTTACGGTACAGATGCCATACTCTTAGCACCCAATGCTACCTGTTTCTGCGTTCTTATCAATCCGTCGTGTCGGGTCCCTAAATTGGGACTCTTCAGCTCTCTTCTGATGAGTAGATTCATGCACTTTCATACAGGATGGAAGTCTTTGCGACGCTGTTATCTCAAGAGATTCATCGAAGCCCATCTACTCTTCTTATATACCCTCTTGTATATCGTAGTTCAAATCAACCTCAGTCAAGGCATCAACGCAACTTCTTGACACGCCAGCTGCTTGGTGAATTGTCGTAAAGTTTGGCGTTCTTCTCGGACGATGTCCGCCACATTGCGGACGAAAGCTCAGTAAGGATTCATCGGGGTCGCGGGACGGTGAGCCGAGGACTTATTCGGTCGAATCTAGTCACGGCGCCATGGCTTTTGGTGAGACCGACTCGCTTTTTCAAAACTAAATGAAAGGTGCTCAGATCTTGACTAGTCTAACCTTAACTTTATTCTCAATTTACCGAACTAATATTTGAGACACACAATTGGCAACAAAGAAATTAAGCTTCTTATAGCTTTTGACTACTTTTTAAAGAACCCCACCAACCCCGCTCTGTTTGCTGCAAACTAGACTGGATCCTTACTCACTCTTGTGCAAGTTTCGATCTGGTGTGGTTTTTCAATTTTATATTCAATAATTCTTCTCATTCTTAATCTACTCGGTCTGGTACAACAGCTCTGATGTCCTCCCATTTGCCGATACATTTTCCGCCTTTTATCGAAGCGTTTCGAGGCGAGACACAATACGGAGACTTTTAAAAGTCTTCTCGATTTCTTGACAAATGTGAATCAACGAATTAACGGATGTTGAAGTGTCTCATTTCTCTAAAAGTTTTTCCTTCTTGATGCATAACAGGTGGGGCTTTTTTGTGTTCTCCCTACATTCTGTGATTTCTCAGTGGCGATTGCTCTCTCTCTCTCTCTCTCTCTCTCTTGTACATATGAGGGCTGCGCTGTCCAGAAGTCAGTGCATTAGGGCTGCATTTCCTCTGTCCTTTTGGTTTGACTTTGGGACACGTGAGGTTGATTACAAGTCATCTGCGTCGGTGTCACTTTTTCTCTCCTCGATGACAAAACCTTCGGGCCGATTAGCTCGTCGTCATGACGCGATGAGGAGTGTCCGAGTGCTTCTCATGCTCCGCCTTGTCTACAAATCAGGCGACAAATTTTGCCTACACGTGTGCCTATGAGCTGGTTATCTGGCCACGACTCACACGCCCCACCTCGAGACCAAACAAGTCTCTCGTTCCTGTCGTCAGGCCTTCAAGTCACGAGGTAACTGCTTGGCTGGGACGAGATTTAATCAGCCTCGAGGCTTTTGCTTTCCGAGCTGACCGACATCTTTTCCGTCTCAGATCGGAGTCGGCCAATCCTGCTCGGCCCGACCGGCTGCGCCCAAGTTTGGTGGATTGACTTCCGGTGCTAGCCGACCTCGGATTCGAGGCCCAACTGAAAGAGGCCGAGAAAGACTGGAACAGTAAGGAAGGCCTATGAGGTTGTCTGCTCAGTTCAGCTCAGCTCAGCAAAATGGACCAATTCGTACGTCGCTGACTGATTTTATTGCCAGCCGACGTGAGCTTGCAGCCTCAGATGGTGGATCCTACCAGAAGTCGATGTTGGTTTTCCGTTGGCCATCTATCAATTGGCTTTACTGAAACATTTTTGTTGACGCTGTCCCAGCAGCAGGCTCCTTCGATTCTGGTGAAAGCGTGCTAAATTTCGCCCCTCATATGGCGGACGTCGTCAGCGTCACGAAAACTCTGGCCTCCTTAATTTATGTATATACAGTGTTGGTTTGACTTCATTTCCGCAACTTGGCCGGAGTGTCAGGGAGACCTTGTGGAACGTACCTAATCCTGTGTCCTCTGCCACAGTATTCGTGATTTCCAGCATCGGACCATTGGCTTGCTACATTTCCAGTTGTTTCGCTGGCATCGTTGATGAGAGACGCCATTGTTACTACAGAGTTACAACTTATCAGTGCTAACGATGGTGCTTTTCACTGATGATGCCGATTAAGAGGCCTGCGAAACGTCGGAGAATGTACCAAATCAATGGTCCCATGTTGTAAATCACTAATACGTTCCACGTGGTCTCCCTGTCACTAAACAGAAGGCCACACAATCTTGCTCTTTATATCTGCGATCTGTATGTATACCATATATCTATGCTATTTTAATGAGGTATGAAGGGATTTGGTTACTTCAGGAATCTACCACTAAAGCCAATCGACAGCTTCCCGAGAGAAATCCACCATCTTCCTCTGGTGGTGAGATTGACCTTCGAATCGCTTGATCGCTTTCATAAATTTTCACTCGAAATGAAAGTGAGCTCAGCAATTATGAACAACAAAATCCCTCAAAACCCCAATTTTCTTCTCATCATATGCTTTGTCCACTGGGCTAACCATCTGGTTCTTTTTTGCACAACTTTTTCCACAAACAAAGTTGGTGGGATCCCAAATTTGGTCGCAGTCTCCTTTAGTTATATGGAAGTGGTTTGACTTCTTTTTCACTACTCTTACACGTTGATATTAAGTCTCAAACATAAAGGATTAAGGTATAAACGAAGATATGAAGACCAAGATGTTGTGGCCTTTGGTATGATCGCAGTCTCCATTCAATGTAAAGGAGTGGGCTGACCTCGTTGGATATAGTTTCGAAACAACTCGTCACTATTGAAGCACCAAATATGATTGTCATGAAGTTGTTATGTGTGGCTAGCTCTGCTTAAGCATAGCAAAGCACCCTGAATCCGATTAATCCGAACTGAGCCTTCCTACATCACGTGAGAAAGTGGTGAGATTGTGAAAGCGTTTATAGATAAGAAACTGACAAACGCAACTCATACAGAAATCCTGCAAATCCAGCTTTGCACAGAAAGCCATATAGAAGTGTTTTTTTCGTCATATTTGTGGCGGAAAACTTCAAGTTTCATGAAGACTGGCCGAATAGTCTCGGTGCTGCCGAAACTGGAATGTGGTGGCAATCAGCTATGGGGTTCCCAATTTTAGCTCAAATCTCAAAGCCTCAAGCCTTCTTTTTCTGTCGCTTTAACTATGAATTGTGTTGAACCATCTTGCCTTGTGTTACGTGACGTGGGGGTGTTGGCTTGTTTGATTCTTGATCCGCATGCTGTCAGTTCGTCTTAAACCAAAGTCAAGGCTGAAACTATAACAAAATTTGTTGAAAAGGCGAATATACTCTTCACCATCGCTAAGTCGAATGACTGCATATACTGTATTTTTCCTCCGAAACGACATCAACTAATTGTTTATGCATCATTTATTGCACATTGTTTTCCTTATCAGGCCACTCTTGTGCTCATTCATTCATCTTAATACGAATGTATTAACGATTTGTATTTTTTCTAAAAGCAGAAGAGGTTAATTTGGTTTCCGTCGGTCGAGTTTGGTCGCCTCACTACTTTGTCATCTAACCACTTTCGCTTCTCGCTGCTTTAAGATATTTTGGTCTCAAAATACTTAATTACAGATGAAGCAGAAAACTTCAATTAAAAATAGAAAAGGTACTTTGCAAAAATATGGACCTACAATTAACTGACCATTTTATGAGATTGAGGTCTTTATTTGATGAGTACAAGTATTGCGGGCCTCCTTGCAGTCTTCATAATTTAGACTTTCCAATTATTCCCTTATATATGAGTCGGCATGATAAAATCAGCATTGAAGTCCGAATAAAACATCTTCGTCTGAGCATATCCACTCTTATACAGTCTGCACATCGTCGAATTTCTTCACATTTAGCTTTCTCTCTGGCCTGTGTTGCTTGAGTGTCTCGCTACTCTTTACTTATTCATATGGCCGTATTCCAACTTTTTTCTTTTTCTGAAATGTATTTTAATCAGGCTCTATATTTTGTCTGTATCGAGTGTGACATTTTAGCACAACTCCTCCAAAGCCTCGACTGGAAGAAGCAGTTCTTCCATTCCTTTTTAGATGATATAGTTTCCTCCTCCATACTCTTCCTGGTATCGGATACTATTAAATTTCCTCGATATATGTTATCTTGCAAGACGTCCTTATGCATTTTGCCCAAGCTTTGGTGCATCATGGACTTAATCTTATTGAGTCTACCTGCAAACTTTTCGACATCTCCAACCTCATCCGTCAGTGGCCGGTTTATACCATCATTGTTGACTCGCAATGGTCATCCTCCCTATTTCGGATTAGTTGGAAAGCGCATAATTCTGCCAT